ACAGCTATTGCATGGATTAAGTTAGTTAATATATTTTGAGTGCTTATAAGAATACCTATAATAGGCCAGGCGCGGTGGCTCACGCCTGTAATCCCAGCACTTTGGGAGGCCGAGGCGGGTGGATCACGAGGTCAAGAGATCGAGACCATCCGGGTCAACATGGTGAAACCCCGTCTCTACTAAAAATACAAAAATTAGCTGGGCGTGGTGGCACGTGCCTGTAATCCCAGCTACTCGGGAGGCTGAGGCAGGAGAATTGCCTGAACCCCGGAGGCGGAGGTTGCAGTGAGCCAAGATCGCGCCACTGCACTCCAGCCTGGGTAGTAAGAGTGAAACTCCGTCTCAAAAAAAAAAAAAAAAAAAAAAAAAAGAATACCTATAATAAGTCCTCAATATATGTTAGCTATATTTTTATTTGTCTCTTATATATAAGAAAAAACAATATAGGAGTCAAAGTAACTTTGCCATGGGGTAAAAGGCAAATCTGAAATGTGTCCAAGTCAGATCCTAAGACCTGCTGCCTTTAGTTATCTTTCTCCTTAAATGTCAGTCTCAACTAAGGAGAGAGATGGTCCTGCTGGACTAGGCAGGAAGGAAGGGTCATAATGAGATGACAAAGCAGTGTTGTGGCCTCTGCTGCAGTGGATGGAAGGATGACGATGTTGGTATGAGGATGTCATCAGGACCTGTGTTACTTCTGGATGGAGAAATGAGGAAAGATGTCCTCCTCTGATTCTTCACTATCCTCTGACCATCTCATTGTTGTCCCATGCCTGGTTCCATTCATCTGAAATGGCCCAGGGCAAAAAAATATATCCATTTATGATTGTGAACAATTGATCTGGCAGTTATCTAGCTAATGTGATGTGATTTCCAGTCCTCCAGCTTGAGCTCACAAGGAGTCTCAGATATTAAATGACTGTACTTTCTTGACCAAAGTTAGATTACCTTAAGTCATTTGGAATTTTATTTTAGAAAGTTTCATATCAGAGCCTAGTATATTTGACTTTCTCCTAGAATGATGTCATGGTTAACCTAGAGTGTCAATACTAAGTTTATAGTTTTATTTAATTAGATAAGTCATTAAGCCAAAATTAACTGGATTGAAATTCTCTTACATAAATCTGCCTTCCCTCACAAACTTTCAGAAACAATTTTTTTCTCTATGCAATTTTTTCAAATAAATCTAGTGCCATACACAGTGATCTTAGTTATTTTCTGTATAAATATGCCTAATAGCATATTTTATAATATAGCATATTATAATATATAACATATATAGTAAATTATATACTATAGTGTATAGTGATATATAATATACACTATATTTATAATATAGTATATAATAATGATATATACTTTATAATATAAGAGATTGGCTTATGATAAGATTTATTTGTCTTCTACTTAAAAGTTTATAAAACCTCAAAGGATCAGGGAAGTGAAAGAGAGAGAGAGTAAAAGAGTGAAAATATTTCTATTTTCCATAACACCTCACATTTATTTTCCAGCACTTGCTAAGTATAGTGTCTGGGTGATGCCACTAAAACTCACTGAGCTTCAGCTCTTCATTTGTAACATGCTTTAATATCCTTTCAGGGTTATTGTGAGGTTTTAATTAAAGAATGTTCAAATAATTTCTCCATAAACTCCATATAATTGTATCAAAGTGGTTATCATTAATGTATACCTAGTAAACAAGTAAATATACAATGCAATGAAGTTGTCTCATTGTACAACTAAAATTCAGTCTTAGTGTTTAGAAAATGACATAGAACCTTGGTGTAATAGGTTATTACGGGTTTATATATCTCATTCAGAAACTCATTTATGTACTTGATATTTGCCTATGTTCAGTCTACTGCTCAAAGCACAGTGACACATTCAGTCTCTTCAAGAAGCTTATTAGGAAAGCAGGAACACATAACAGTAACACAAAGTTGAATGGCACTTACGCTGGGATGTGATGAGCTCAAGCCCAGTTCTGTGGACATTTTGCATGGGGATGTGGGCCAGAAGAGTACTTCCAGTTGGTAAGAGCAGAAAGCCAGAAAGTTCAAGAACGCTCTATGAAGAATAAAGGTTTTCCTCAGCCCTGAGTAATGATGTGTTGTATGTGTGGCTGCCAGAAGTAAGGTGTAAAGAGAGGATGAGTGAGTAGAGAGGGATGTTCCAGGCAAAATGAACTCTGTGAGCAAAGACATCAAGGTGGGAAAAGTTTAGACTGCTGTTTCTCAAAGTTTGGTCAGGGGGTTTCCTGATTTGTGAATGATGAACAATTGCATGCTCTGTCACGGGTTCTTGTGGGAAGGAGGGATGTGCAAGCTCATGGATTTTCATTTTTATAATGACTAAGAACAAATCATTACTAACTGAGTAAGTGAATGACTAAAGATGACTAATACTTGGTACATGTACACCAAAATTTGTAAGCTACTAGAATTTCCATGGGTCCATAACTCCATATCCTACTAAGAAGTCTGAGTAGCAAGATCAACTTTCTGCTGTCTTTGCACACACAGAGACAGTTAAAAGCCCGCCCCCACCCAACATCCAAATGCCAATTTTATCCAGAAGCAAAATAGTTATTTGTGCATCCTGGGGATTACTTTAAGTTCATCTTGGCTTTCAGTTTTTGCTGTCCTATTATTAGTTACTTTAAAATACTTAAAAAAATTTTTTTTATTCTTGTGTAATTGTTGGGCTCACGCTATTTTCATAGTACTATATTTTTCTGTATTCCTAATCACCAAGTTATTTTCTTCTGGGCAAAGGGAATAGGTGATATAAATGATGCTGTGTACCCTTTGTCCTGCCATAATCTGTCTCTCCTGCCCTGTGCATGGCATTTGTTTTAACACTCTCCTCTGCCACCCTTGGGAAGCCTTATATTTCAGGAAGGGAGCTGATGTGAAGGAAAAATACAAAGTTCCTTGGTTCTGTAGATCAGGGGCTGGTTAATTATGACCCAAAAGCCAAACCAGGCCTGCAACCTGTTTTTGTAGATGAAGTTTTACTGGAACAGAGCTATTTCCACTCTGTGGCTGCTATTGCACTAAAATGACAGAATTAATTAATTCCAACAGTTTCAGAAATCTTAACAATTTACTAGTTGCTCTTTTACAGAAAACATCTTCCAACTCTTGTTCACCATAGTGCTAATAACTATCTTCCAAACGGAAATGTGATGGTTAACCTTGGGGGAAAAAATGGTATGTGGTGTTTCTTAAGAGACCAACCAGCATAGGTTGTGTTAACTTACTGGTTGATGATTTCAAACCTTAGAGCGACTGACCACTTTTGGAAGGACAGTGTTATAAACACCCCTGTCATCCTGAAAGGGCACAATCAAATTTTTGTTAGTGGAAGAAAAATACACGAAATGCAAACGATTGCTTGAGGAATAATAACAAAGAGTACCCACTTAAAAAAAGTTAAAGTAATCCTTTAACTTTGTAAGGTTTTCCCATTCTTTCTGTATTTCTTTATTTACATCATTTTGAGTCACTCTCTAAATCTACCTTTTTTTTTCCCGAGAAACTAACTCATCCTGAAACTCCCTTCACCCTCCTGCCATCCTCCTTCTCCTTTCATTCCTCCTCATCTTCTGTTTTGTCACACATCGATCTCATGGCACTACTCATATATCTTTTAGGCTAATAGAATCCCTAGATGTTTTCCAATGGCTTTAAGGATGAACAAACGTCTTTGGAGTCAGTGCTCACATTTGAGTTTTATCAGCAGAGTATTATGTAATTAATATGATGAACATGGCATAAGGATTATTCACTTTCAATAGTAAAAACATCTTAAACGCAACAACTTTGTGAAGAATCTATCTGAAATTTCAGGAAGTTGAGTGGCCAGCTCAGGCACTTGTAAATGGTAGAACTGGCTGTGAATACAGCTTTGGCTGACACCATGCTTTTCTCCAGGGTTTTCTGGTAGAGTCTTCATGTTGTTCCCTTATAATCTGATTTTCCTATAGTGAAGTCATGGACTTTTACCCTGAAAAACATGATGGGCCACTAGATTGAATAGTTTAAAATACATTTTGTATTGATGCTATTTAACTCTGACAGTTCTGTAGCTGGATTGATTAGCTGTCCTAACTAGTTAATAAATTGGGCCTAACCCTTTATGTCAAAATCATTATTGAAAGATAACACTCTGTTCATAAAAGTTGTGAAATATTTCAGATCATACTGAGAGGTATTTCTGGTTTATTGGCCATGTCAAATCTCAAGCAAATTGTTTACTTGAATTTTTATTTAAAAATACAAATTTCACAACTGGTTCAGATTTCCCAGGAGTATTTGCTTAATGTAGACTCCATTTAAAAATAACTGATATATTTCCAAATTAAAAGAACTAAGATATATAAATAAAAATTTAAGAATAGACTTAAATTACTCTGTTTTGAAAGAGGATGCTACATCTACTTATATGAAATTCACATTTAAAAGTAATTCCTGAAGCTCAGAAAGCCAGAATTTGCAGTAATGGAATTTTGTAGTTAGAAAAAAAATTTTAAAAGATGCCACAGTAAGAAAAAATACATGGTCCTATTTATTATGCCTTTTTTTCTCCTGAGATGTGTTTTTCCATGATACTTCAATATTTCTTTTGCAGGTGGTCAGCAATTTTATTAAGAAATCACAAACCCACTCATACAAAGGAAACATTACCAAATTATAAAACAAGTCACTGGAGAGAAAAGAATTAGGCTATGGGTACACGGCTCATGGGATTTGCAAAACCATCAGTGTGTGAGCTGCTCTGAACTAAACGTTAGACTACAAGATTAAGGGGAATAAGTGGGTAATTTCTTCATCCAAGAAGAGCTTCCAACACTAGTTTAGAAGCACATGGAAACTGAGAATATTCTTGATTTTGCAATACAATGATGATATTTTCTCAGGATTATAAAAAGGTAGAGGATGCAATCAAAATAGAGTGCAAATTATTAGGGTAAATATTTAAATTATAATCTTGGCTCATATCCCCACAAACCTTTTATTTGGTGAAATTAAATCTTGAATACTGTAATTCTGAATTTTCTGAATTTCAACAAGACTTTTCTTGTTGGGGTAACAAATGAATATTTAACACTGTGAGTGACTTTCATCTGTTACTTGGCATGGCTGTTCTTGGAGTTCACAAGTCAGTTTCTTTCCTCAGGGGCTTTGCTGCAAGTCTTTCTGCCAACATCTCTGCTCCTCTCCCTGCAGAAAATAACCCCCTATGAACTTTGCCCACATTCTGTAGATAATAAAGAATGTGGAAGAAGTGAAGATAGTTGATCCCTTTCCCCAGCAAGGGCACCTGGTCCCTGTGGTTTTGGCACCAGCTTCAGGCCTACCAGGCAGTGCTCATGAGGATTCAGTATAGAAAGTAAGAACTCTGACTACCACTTTTAGACTTTGGGAAGCTAGCTGTAAACATATTTCCTTCCAGAGACTCCTTAATTATACAACGAAGGCAAGACACCCCTGGTTGTTTACCTGCATGTCCCTTAATCTACTATTTTTGGTGATGTTCTGGGACACGTGTGCAGAGGCTGGACCCCTTACCCCACAGTCAGGACATAACAGGAGAGAGCCACTGCCCAGCCCCAGAGGGGAAGCAGCCATAAACACCCCCTTGGTCCAGCTAATAATGTGTAAGCTAACGAAGTGGAAGCTAAGGCACATTTCTCTCTCTCTCTCTCTCTCTCTCTCTCTCTCTCTCTCTCTCTCTCTCTCTCTCTCTCTCTGTGTGTGTGTGTGTGTGTGTGTGTGTGTGTGTGTGTGTGTGTTAAAGTGGGGCTCAGAAACCCAAAGAGGAATCAGAGCATGTACCAACTCTGATCTCTGAAGAGCACAAGCCCTGTCATCAGCATTCCTTTTTCTCAATAATCAGGAAGAGGAGATATCAAGGCCAGACTTTTCATTGAAAGATGACTGCCTAGCTCTGGTGGGCCTAACTACTCACCCACCATAGTCCTGAGAACTCACTCCCAATCACTGGCGCAGGGACTCTGAAGATGCAGAGACATGGCTGTAGAATTGGTTGAGGACCAACTGGACTTTCTGCCGGTTTTAAAATCTCTAAACAGTTGAAAGAGGGTTTGGCAGTTTCCTAACAAAACGAAACATGCTCTTACCCAATCCAGCAATCACAATCACTCTTCCTGATTTTTACCCTAAGGGGTTGAGAACTTATGTCCACACGGAAATCTGCACATGGATGTTTATAGCAGCTTCAGTTGTCATTGCCAGAACTTGGAAGCAACCAAGCTGTCCTTCAGTAGGTGAATGGATATATAAACTGAAATACATCCAGACAATGGAATATTATTCAGTGCTAAAGGGAAATGAGCTATCAAGGCAAGAAAAAAAAATGTGGGAAATATAAATGCATATTACTGAATAAAAGAAGCCAATTTGAAAAGGTGCAAGGCGAGGCCCAGAAGGATGACTGCCTGACATGCCTTGGAAGGCCACACTTTGCCATATGATTCCTTGGCAGAGATTCCTGTGTTTCAATTATGGGATCGAGGTAGCAAAGCCACTGGTCATGAAGAGCCCCTGCATTATGAAACAAAGGACACCCATTCCTGGTGTCCAGAAAGGAGTATTTAAAACTCTAAGACTTTTGTCAGACCCAGTAATAACTGACATTGAACTGATTTAGGATTAGAGACACATTTATTTAGAAAAAAATAAATAATACTATTTATAGCATATCAGTGGCTCTGGTTGCAAAGTCTCATCCATAATCTCTGCTCATACCATGAACAACCTTTTATAGAATGTTATACGGTGCAATTCCTTAGAACAATTGCCCTCAAAGATCTCAATTTTAAATGATGATCCTTGCTACCTGTGCATGACAAATAAGTCCATTGCTATGAAAAAAAAAAAAAAAACAAATTATTTGCAGCTTTAACATAGATTGTTTTTCAAGTTTCTACTTTTTCCTATCAAAGTTTTAAAATTTAGAGTATTAGTTCAGTCCAATAATAATGGTATTAATAGTCATGGTGGTTATGCTAATAAGGCTGCCTCACAAAACAAAAACTATAGAAGACTATCGAAAAATTTCCTCTACAAATGAACTCCAAATAATGTACGTAGATTCACTGCACTCAAAGAGTAGAGAATAACTCCACTCCTTAAGTGTGGGCTGTGCATAGTAACTTCTTTCAATGGATATAGTTTGGAAAGGGGGAAAAAGAGTAACATTTTGTCCAGAAATCTGATAGACACTATCTTAGCCATGTGTGCAGGGCTATTAGTAATGAGTGACAAATCATGTTGGTAGTGCATACCTTTAGTATAATGAGCTGAAAATGGCACTTTGCCTCTGTAGCCTTCCTCTTAAAATCCATATGCCCAGGCTAATTGAGGTAAGAGGCCAGCAGGACTTGTTTTCTGGTCACAACCTTGTGGGCCAAAACAGGATCTGGTCCAGACAGGATGAAGAGAAGAAGCCAGTAGCAACCAGCAGATGGCAACAAAAGGGATCCATAACTGCCCTCACTGGTCATTCGCATGAGGCACTCCCACCAGTGCCATGACAGTTTGCAAATGCCATGGCAATGGCCTAGAATTTACCGTCTTTTTCCGTGGACACAATCCAAAAGTTACTTCCCCTGCCCCTTCCCTAGAAAGTTCTAGATGACCCACCCCTCAATTTGCATTGACCAACCATTTAGTTTGCATATAATTGAAAATGGCTTTACGTGAGTATAAATAGAGTTGCCAAAAGCATGTATGTTGCTGACTCTGGGTGCACGGCCTTTGAGTTGGCCCTACTTTACAAGGAGCAGTACCCTTCAATAGAAGATTGCTGTCTAATAGCACCAGCTTACTCCTGAATTCTTTACTGGGCAAAGCCAAGAACTCTCCTGGGCTAAGACCTGCCTGTCCTGCACCATAATCATGAGAAAAACATGGGGCACATCCCAGCTGAGGGACATTCAACAAAAATCCCTGACCAGTACTCCTCAAAACTGTCATGGTTCTCAAAAACAAGAAAAGTCTGAGAAACTGTCATGACCAAGAGGAGCTTAAGGAGACAATAACTAAATATATGTGGTATCCCCGAACAGAAAAAGAACACTAGGTGAACACTAAGCAAATCTGAATAAAAAATAAATTTTAGTTAATTATTAATATGGGTTCATTAGTGGTGACAAATGTATGTTAATAACATGTTAATAGGAGAAACTGACTGGAGTACAGGGGAACTCTGTTATCTTCACAGCTTTTCTATAAATCTAAAACTGTCTCAAAATTTTATTTTAAAAAATAGCAGAATTAATCAGAGCAAAATTTCCCTGTCAAAATGAATTAAAAATGACTGTTGTCTTTAAAAGGAGAGATAAATACTGTGTGAAGACAGACACAGGGAGAAAGACAGACACAGGGAGGAACCATGTGGTGACAGAGGAGGAGATTGGAGTGATTCATCTGGGACACTCGAGGTTACTGGCCATCACCAAAACCTAGGAAGAGGCAAGGAAAGAATCTACTTCAAGTTCCAGAGGGAACATGGCTCTGCCGACATCTTGGTTTTGAATTTTAAGACCCTAGAGCTGGGAGAAAACAGATTTCTATTGTTTGAAGCCACACAGTTTATGCCATGGCAATGACCCAGAAGTTACTGACCCTTTCCTAGAAAGTTCTAAATAACCCATCCCTCAATTTTCATTGAAGTGCAAGAATTCCTATTTCTCAGATGTATTTTCTCAATAGTATTTTTCTTTGGTACCTTAAGAAACTACTGCAAATGCTTGGTTTATCATACAATGTTAGTCTTCATTCACTGCAGAACTAAGTGGTGATTCTCCTTATGACTATGGACAGTATTTTCTCCTGCATAATTTTATACACTTTTCAGAATGTATCACTGCATTATCTATTCCTTTGAATCCTCATACTTTTCATGAAAACCTCTCTTCCAGGGATTTCTTCCTCTTGCTTCAATCTGGACAGTTTCCTCTGTAACCCTGCTCCATAGTTGTCACCCCAGGACTTAGTTTCACTGATTTTGGGGGGTTAAAACTACTGTTTCCTGGGTCCTATGTCTTCTTCTATTATTGTTTTTCTCATTTTGCTGGTACAAGTCTTCCAATAATTTCTTAATCAAGAGTGATGACAGATAAGACTTTTGAAGGCATTTCTCCCTAGGCATCTTACACTGATATTGCTGGTGAGAAGGCTGTTGGCATTCTGCTTCTTTGTATGTGTCCTGTGTTATTCTTTTACTTTTGACATCTTCCCATTATTCTTGGTGTACTGAAGTAGTGTAAATGATATGCTTTGCTGTGGTTATTTTTTCTGTTCATATGCTGGATACACAAAGATCTTTCAGCCTAGAGATGAGTGTTCTTTAATTCTGGGTCCCGCTGGTTTCTCATGCTAATCTTCATGGGGGTGGGACCCTTGCCTGCCATATCCTCAGTGCCTAGCACAGAACCTTCAGAATACTTAGCATTCATTAAATAATTATAGAATAAAGGCGGAATCCAGAAATAAAGAACTGCAGTGACCTTTGAATTGGTCCTTCAGATTTCTCTGAAAGTTTTAATGCTGACAAGAACAAATAGTGAAGCCCAGACTTGGAAAAAGTGACCTAGTCAGTGTATGTATTAAAACCGTGAAAGAAATAATAGGAGGAGTCATACAAACTTAGGTAAGATAGTTCCAAAAGAGAAAAGCAAAATTTACTTCCACTAGACGTGAAAAGAGCTGACTTTTACTGATCACTTTCTTTTCAAATGAATACCATTGTCCCATGTTACAGTTGACTAAACTAGGGCTCAGAATGTTCAAATAACAGCTGGGAAATGGCAGAGCTGGAATTTAAGTCCAGATATTTGCTCATTTATTTAACAAATATTTATTGAGGCTCCATTGAGTGTCAGTCAGTGTCTAAGGCTATCTTAACTCTCAAACTCATGCCCTTTTCACTATCCCTGTTGTCACCAAGCAGTGCCAGTGATGGGAATTGGCATAGCTTAGTTACATGCAATAATATAGAACTGGGTCCCTATAAAGAGACAAAACTAAAACTTAATGTTGGCATTTCTTGCAAATCTTAGGAGCAATGATCAAACTGAAATGCAGGGATAATGGGAAAAATTGAAAGGGCTGATAAACAACTCTGACCATTCTAGTTAGGGTCTTATCCAAACCCTGCTGCATTCATCCTTCCCTCTTATCCATCCATCCATCCTTCCCTCTGCATTCAACATATACTCAGTGGTGTCTAGGGGCATATTAAAGGTGCTGAGAAGTACTCAAGAAATGAAAATTGTATATATGGTTTTTAACTTGTTTCTCAAATGTATTTGCTCATAGAAGTCTTTACCGTTTTTATAGACCACAATTTATATTATGCTGTAAACTTGTTTTGCAGAACACAGTCTGGAAAGTATTCTTCTACCAAAGGTTGCCTAATATGGTTAGACTGTGAGCTTGTGAGAACAGGGCTTGTGCTTCTAGTGCCTAGCACATGGCGTGATGAGTGCTCAGTAACAAGTGAATGTATGAATGCATGCATATGAGAATTGTGAGCACCTTGGCAGGGCTAATGGATACAAGTGGTTTTTATTTTTGTTTCTTTGTTTGCTTATTGTAAAGAGTAGGGAGCCGTCACAGAGCCCTTCAAATGACAGCAGACAGCTGCTTACTTTTCCTAGTGTAAGTACTCAGAATTAGATTAAATATTCTTTTTTGGGGGGGTGGGGATATCTTTTCTCTCAGGCCTCAGAGGTAATTTCAGCCACTGAAATAAATAGGAATTTCTCTTTCCCTACCAAAAGATATTAGGAGTTATCTAATTCTTAAAACACTGCTTTTAAAAGTAGCTATCCCAAATGGATTGAATTTGAAACATGTTTTGTTTATCTGGTACATGGATCGGTGGCAGTCCAAAAAGCCCATAGGAAAGAAGATGAGGATCCCTTATCTGGATGAAATTTAATTAAAAATAAACAAAAGATGGCTACTGTTTTAGGATAGCATAGCCCCTTATGGCAATTTAATTTCCTTTCAAGAAAGAGGATGATATGAAACCTTTTCAGATCCCAATGTAGTAAGGTATATTCTACATCACAGCATTATTCCATGGGTGCTTCCCCTACC